ACTGCCAGGGATGGGGCAGCCACAGCTTCACCCTCATGGAAGTGTTTGCTTGGACACTCTTAAGACTGAGAATTTCCTCCTACAGAAGTGATGCATTGGGTTGGAAGTGTGCAGTGGACCAGGGACACAGCACCCATGTAAGAGGAGATGTTTAAACATTCCTTTTAAATCAGTTCTGGGGTTTAAATAAAATTAGGTTCCTTTTCAAATTAGATCTGCAAATGAGAATGAGCAGCTGTGATGAAATTTGGAAAGACTGAAGGCGAAAGGGAACACCTGAGTGACAGGAGTGTGATTGATTTTTAATTCTGTATTAACAGCCACTGTGGGACAGTTCCCATCTGTAAGGCTTGACTTGGCCTAGACCTCAAATGTTATCTTAAAGCTGTTTTGACTGTTGGAAGGTCATGAGCAAATTGAGAGTGTGAGGAAAGTAATTGAAGATGATCCAAGAGCTAGAGCAGCTCTGCTCTGGAGCCAGGCTGGGAGAGTTGGGGTGTTCAGCCTGGAGAAGAGAAGGCTCCAGGGAGACCTTAGAGCAGCTTCCAGTGCCTGAAGGGGCTCCAGGAAAGCTGGGGAGGGACTTGGGACAAGGGCAGGGAGGGATGGGATGAGGGGAAATGGATGAAAACTGGAAGAGGAAGATTGAGGTGAGACATGAGGAGGAAATTCTTTTCTGTGAGGGTGGTGAGAGCCTGGCCCAGGTTGCCCAGGGAAGCTGTGGCTGCCCCATCCCTGGCAGTGTTGAAGGGCAGGTTGGATGGGGCTTGGAGCAGCCTGGGCTGGTGGGAGGGGTCCCTGCCCATGCAGGGGGGGCGGAGCTGGATCTTTAGGGTCTCTTTCAACCCCACCCATTCTGTGATGATGATGGAGGTGGGGATTGACTTAGTGGAACAGGTTAGAGGAAACACAGATGGCTTCTCCAAAGCAAGGCAGAGGGTTGAGGGACTCGCCATCATCTGCCAGTAATTAAAGCAGAGGGGAGTTGTCCTCGAGGGGTACAAGTCAGAATGAAAGGCTGAAATTAGAAAAGGAAAAATAAAGGCAAGGTGCTGGAAAATCACAGATAATTCACTGGGCAGTGACATTTTTCCTGTGCTGAAGCAGCTCAGGTGGTTTTTTCCCTGCTTTTGGGATCCAGCTGCTTTTGCTGTTGCCAACACAATGGATGTCTCCTCAGTGGAGGGAGTGCCTGGTTTGCACAGCAGGGGCAGGTCAGCATGATCAGGACTGTCAGAACAAGGTGTTTCCCAGAAATGTTCCCTGTGGCTGTTCCAGCTGGGAAAACAATAGTGGCTTGGGCATGGATGTGCCCTTTGGATGGCTGGTGGGCTTTTCCACAGGGAACATGGGGGTCATGGATCCCTGGGTGGGGAAGGCAATGGTCATCTGCTCTAGGCTTGGGGATGCTCCTGGGGGGTCATTCCCTGTCCACCTCTGCCTGTCTCTGGTTGTGGAACTTGTCTAATCTTGGAGGTGATCCCAGCTCCCTGTGTGGGTGTCCCTCTGGTGCACAGAGCAGGAAACCTGGAAGATTTCCAGCTCAGTTGGCATCCAGGGCAAAGAAGTGAAATATCCCACTTACAGCTACAGTGACACTGGTACCAGCCAGAGAGGAGTGTGCTGGGGAACCAGCTTTTGCCCAGGGGGAACTGGCTTCCACAGTGTCTGCTCCATGCACTGGGAACTCTCCTGTTGGGATCCATGGACCTGCCCTGCAGCCAGGCCTGGGCTGAGGCAGGGGGAAGTCCATGGGGTCAGCATGAAGCCTCCATGCCTTTTCCAATAACATTTGAAGCCAGTTGAGCAAGTGGTTCATTTCCTGGCCTCTGGCTTTGCCCAGCAAGCTGGGTGCTGCATGGAGCTCTCCTGTTTCATCCCCAGGCACTTCTCCAGCACTTTCTTCTTCAGGGACAACCTAGTATTTCATGTGTTGTGGGTAGAAATACCTTGGATTAGTCCACTTTTGGTTGCAGCTGAGTCTGGGGAACTCTCTGCAGAATTTTCCTCTCTAATTGAAGTGCTCAGCATCTTGGTGGCTGGCAGTGGTGGGACAGTGACCTTACCTGAGCCTTGGTAGCATCTCTGTGTGTTGCTGCTGCTGCTGCTTTGGGCTGATTCTTGTTTGTCCCCTGGGCAGGAGTGACAAATGGTTTCACCAAGCACGGAGAAAGCGGCTCTGACTCGGAGTGTGGCTCTGGCAGGGGAGGTGGCCTGGTGTTTGAAGCCTGCAGGTAAGTATCTCCT